CGTCCCACCTCTCCGAGGCTGGGCCCGCTTACATCTGACAACTTAATTAGGATATAGACTGCCCTCACAGACCAACACTTATCTTTTCTGCGCACTTTGTCCTCACTCGTGCACACTCGGGAAGAACTTCCCGGTCGGTCACCCATCGCTACAGGTCAAGCACGCTTAACCTTGGAGTTCTTAAGAGATGGGCTTCCAGAAAAGAAGTTGCAACTTGTTGGTACGAGTATCCTATTAATCCTATTAAGCCCTGAGTCGGGATGTTACATCCTCACCCCCTTAAGAGATCGACGTCCTCGTCGATCAATCCCAAGCCAGGAACGTCCCCTCTTAGCCACGTCCGTGTGTCCAGTGCCAGCGCATGTGCCATGCTATATGACCACGCCGGATCCACACCAGCCATGCGCACCATGCCTGCGCCACTACGACACACGCGCCCGTGAAACCACGAGAGTCGGCTCTAATACCATTCTGTAACGTCCCACCTCTCCGAGGCTGGGCCCGCTTACATCTGGCAGCTTAACTAGGATATAGACTGCCCTCACAGACCAACACTTGTCTTTTCTGCGTACTTTGTCCTCACTCGTGCACACCCGGGAAGAACTTACCGGTCGGTCACCTATCGCTCCAGGCCAAACACGCTTAACCTTAGAGTTCTTAAGAGATGGACTTCCAGAAAAGAAGTTGCAAGTTGTTGGTACGAGTATCCTATTAATCCTATTAAGCCCTGAGCCGGGGTGTTACAATGGCGATGAAGTTGTCGGAGCCAGTGGTCCAGGTGATCTGGCCGATGGTGAACGTGAGGCCGTTCGGCGTAGCCATGGAGCCGGGGATGATGACCATCTTGTTCATCTGGGGAGCAGTACGCACACCCCCTACCTGGCGCGCCACTGTCGATGAAATATGGTCGGCAGTCTACCTAGTGGTATGCCCAAGGTAGTAGATTATTGGCAGACAGGTGCGCAAACTACGAACGAGATGATAGGTGCGCAAACTACGAACGAGATGATGACGCAAGACAGACACGAGATTTTATCCAGGTTTGGCCGCCGTGATGGCGTAATACCTACGTCCTGCGTCTGATTGTATTGTTGTATGTCAATGAGATTGTTTTTGAGAGGGGTCCCATGTCCGCCTTATATAGTTTGGGGGCAGGGTTACAGATCTGGAAACTAATACTAACCGGTTACAATTGTCATAGGTGACCGGATACGGATTCCTATTCTAACCGACCAGGATCTTGCTTGATCTCTAAGTCTGCCTTGATTCCTTACGCGGGACTCCGAGCAGATCGGCTGGGCCGCCCGTCGTCTTCTGGTGGACCGAACCCCCTGGTCCGGGCCGGCCTAAACCTAGCCGTAAGGGTATAGGGGTTAATACCCCCACATACGCCGACGCCTGGCTTGGGCCCGGCTAGTGACGACCCTCTCTCCTGGCCGCTTGGCCTGGGCATGGCGAAGGATGGAGCACGACATGGCAAGCGACGGAGGCACCGCGGGGGACGAAGGCACCGCGGGGGATGGGAGGCGCCGTGGGAGATAGCGGTGGTAACGCACCGGAGTGGGCCGCAGTATGGGATGGAGGCACCACGGAGATGATGGCGGCGGCGCGGCGGAGCGGGGCGGGCGGACGGCCTCACGATGGACGACCGCGGAGCGGGGAGACTAGCACGGAGTAAGGAAGAATTGATTTCGTTTGTCCGGACATACGGACGCAGCATTAGCCGTACCAAAATCATATAAATTTTAATAACTGAGTACGAGTGTACTAGTAGTGTCCTGGCATGATCAACAACCATGCCGTCACATCATGCTAGATCATTGACGTGTTGACCATGCCGTGCCGTTGCTGTTGTGTGATAGGCTCGTACGGGTTTATGATCAGGGACACGTTCGGATCCTTTGCTTTGCTAGAGCTCGTGTCCTTGATGAGCAATACAGTTGTAATAGTACATGTAGTTGGATTAGCTAAGCTGCAACGATGCTCATGAAAGCAAGCTTTTTGCTTTCTTTCCTGAGTAAGTCAATTTAGTTAGCCTTACCAGGGAAGTTGGTGCGAGTATGAAGGGCAGGCAAACCAAAGGAGCCCTAAAATCTGGAATACCAAAGCAACACATGATGGCCAATATTATGAGATCAACAGCACTGAATATTTCAATTCGGAAAACTCTGGTGGGGGATAAACTCAATCAATGGGAAGACTTAGTACTCCCTCAATTCCAAATTATAAGGTATGTCAACTTTCTTGGAAAGTCGAAGCATCTCAAGTTTGAACAAAATTATAGAGATAATTACAAAGAGTTATGACATCAAATAGATATACTATGAAAATATAATTACTGAAGAATCAGTTATTTGGTATCATAAATATTATTATTCTGTTCTACAAATTTGATCAAACTTGAAATGCTTTGACTCTCCAAGAAAGTTTTAATGTCTTATAATTTATGATGGAGGGTGTCCGTGTTTCGACTAAGCACCAGCTAGTAAATTTGTATACTGGTTCGGGCCGAATGTCCCTACGTCCAGTTTCGAGCTGCTCGTGTTACCAGCACTGAGTTTGTAGTAGGGGGTTACAAACTGGCGAGAGAGGGAGGTAGCTCCCAAGTCTCTGGTGTGATGCGGTGTGTTTGTTCGATGAATCGCCCTCCTAAGTGAGACGCCCTGCTTTCCCTTTTATAAGCCAAGGGAGAGCAGGGGTTATAGCCGGCGGGAAGAGGGAAAAAAAGAGAAATAAGGCTCCCGGGGGCGTGCCGTCCTCCTCTTCACGTGGATCCCGCTGACCCTGTAGATCGTGGAGGCAGCGGCGTCGTACCGGAGTCCTGTTGGCCGCTGCAGCTTACGTGCGGGCGTCACGCGCCATCCTTGTCTTCCATCCCGTCCGAGCGGACGAAATGGTCAGAGGGTCTCCTGACAGAAGCCATGCGGGGGGTTAGTGGTACAGTGCCAGTCAACTGACGCCGGTTGACTGATGTTGGACGCTGGTCAGGCAGGGAGTTGGCAGCACAGTGCTGGCCTGTTGACGCGATGGGCGACGTGAGTTTCCCAGCATGGCCCAATGCGACCGCCAGTCACATCAGGACACGTCCGAGACGTGCTCCCCGGCGTGCGCTTCCATGCCGTAGTGGTTGAAGCGGTTTGAGCCCTACCCTGGGACTACTACCTTGGTCCGGTAGCAGATCCGATCCCCAAGGATCGGGCGAGGCGGAAATCTCTCCCTGGGAGCCGAGCGAGATGGAATCCGACCCCGGGGGTCGGACGAGGCGGGGCCCTCCCCGTGGGACCGGACGAGGCGTGGCCTGGGCCCTAGGGTCGAACGAGGTGGAAACTTCGCCCTCGGAGTCGGACGATGCGGAAACCTTGTCCTCGTCCTCGGATGAGGCGTGGCCCGGCCCCTGGGGTCAGACGAGGCGGAAACCTCGTCCTCGGCGTCGGACGAGGCGTGGCCTGCCCCTGGGGGTCGGACGAGGCGGAAACTTCGTCCTCGGAGTCGGACGAGGCTGAAGTTGCGTTTTTAACTATCGGATGAGGCGACGTGATGCTCTTTAATTATTTGGCTCAGATACCCGGGTATAGATATCCGACAGAGGGAGTAGCTAAGATCAGTCATATCAGTTTAACTAAAGAGAGGGATCTATTTATTTGGAAATTACATAACAATGGTCATTTTACAGTCCGCTCTATGTATCTTTACATAATGAATCAGAATGTCTTCCTCTCATAAATTAATTTGGAAGTTAAAAATTTCTCTAAAACTTAATATTTTCCTACGGTATCTCCAGCAGGGGGTTATTTTAACAAAGGATAACCTAACTAAGAGGAATTGGAAAGGTAGCTAAAAGTGTTGTTTCTGTAACTGTAACAAAACTATTAAACATCTTTTCTTTGATTGTCATCATGCCAAGGCAATCTGGAGGACTGTCTCTATAGCTAATGGGTTAACCCCTCACAGCACTGTATCCCGCATGTTAGGCAGTGGGCTATCAAATTTTGATTTAAAAGAGAAGAAATATATTCCGGTTGGGGTAGTCCCTTATGTTGGGCAATTTAGAGATGTTGTAATGATCTAAACTTAAAAAACTGCAAATGTACATCTTTTACGCGGGCTATTTTTAGGGGAACATATTGGCTGTGGTTTTGGGCACTGATGCAGCGTGATGATGAAAGAATCTTTTTGGATATGATTTCTGCATCTCGATCTTGTTGCCCCATGTAATATTGTAATCGTTGTGTGCGGACACCGTTGCTCCAGCTCAATACCACCATATATACCCATACCTTATAATATCAATCTTTCTTTAATTATTTGACCCTTTAATTTATTTCCTTTATTTATTTATTTATTTTCCACACACTGTGCAGACATCAACAAGACATTATTTTCAACAATATCAGTACTAGTAGCAACACTACCCTGAGATGATGATCAAACACCTTATTCAATTCTGTCATATTCAGTTTCATACTAAAGCACTGTGACGTTGACGTCTTGACTTCGCACCACCTATTTGCATCAGCCCCCGCACCTGTTCGCTTATTTTATCGGTCATGCTTATAAGCCACGGAAACGATCCAATAAACAGGGTGTTAGCCTTGTAGTCCTGCCACAGCTGCTGCAGGGTGTTCCCCAGGATCTGAGCGAAGAAATCGTCGGTGTAGCCGTCCTTCATCTTGGCGTTGAGCAAGCGACGAAGCCCGGCTTCAGCGAGTCGCAGTAGTCCAGGAACCTCGCCGTGACATCGTACCCCTGATCCCATCGGTCTCCCTGCCGCGGCTTCACCCAGTGCCCCGGCGCGTACCCCGCCTTCAGCCGGGCGTAGTCGGCGATGCCCTCGATGAGGCCGCCGTTCGCGTGCCCCTGCCCGTTCCACTGCCACACGTGCGTCGTCTCGTGGTACAGCACGCCGGTGACCTGTGAAACTTTCAGATAGTTGCCTGAGCTCGAAAGTCGAAACATGTGGGTTAAACTACTACTAACACACTGCATCTGATCTCACCAACCTCTGTTTTCACATCCCCGGAGTAGTTGCCGACGTACTGGGCGCTGAGGTGGACCCCGTTGGCGCTCGTGAAGGCCACGCCGCCGATGTCCTCGACGACGAGGGTCACCGCGTCGACGGGCTTGCGGTCGGCAGGGCTGGGCTGGTTGAAGGTGTTCCAGCAAAAGGAGGCGGCGTCCGAGAGCACTCGCCTCGAGTATGCGACGCCGACATCCCGGCCGAACCGCTTGCCGCCCACTGTGCTCGACGCGGCGTTCGTTGCGCTGAACGTGACCGCGCCGGCCCTGGCCGCCACGGTGTTATCGGCCCACGGTGTTATCGGCCCATCTGCTACGTCTACATCAGAAAGAGGCGGCCCAAGTACCTCGGGATGGATCACACACTCGCTGTCCCAACGTTCGTCTCGCTGGCGCTGAGTGGATGTGAACGTGCCTGTGTGCACCTGCGGGCGAAAGCCGTGTAAGAATATAAGCTACCAGAGAGAGAGATAGGATCATCAGGAATTTTGTAATCAGACTCTAACCTCTCAAGCACTCATCCTTCCTGCCTATCCTTCCTGCCTAATTGCTGTGCTGTTCGTCTGATCCTCTCCCCAAATTGCTTCTACTCCTTGCCTACTGCTAACAATTGGTATCAGAGACACCGATTTTGGGTTACCCTCATCGATCCGTTCTTACTCCATCGGTTGATTTGAGCAATTGATCCGATTGGTTCGATCTCGTTTCTAGTAGTGAGCTGCTGCTAGGGATTTGGTCGCCGTAATTCCCTTCTCCGCTCGAATCGACTTGTGGTTGCGGTCGATCTGGATCGTCCCCAACCTTTTGCCCACGACCACTTCACCTGACGACAGCACCGCCTGGGAATCATGAACCCGGAGACGAAAATCATCCTCGACGAGATCAACCGCCATTTCAACGAGCATGACCAGAAGTGGGATTCGCGTTTCACGGATCAGGATGCGTGCCTTTCTCGCCAGATCCATGACCTAGAGCAGGCGCAGGAGGGGCGCATGGCGGCTCTAGAGAAGGTCACCGCGTCGCTCGATGAGTGGCGGCCGTCGATTGAAGGCATCGTCGACGACATGAAGCTCGACATCTCGAAGTCCAAGTTGGAGGTGTTGAAGATCTCTCGCAACTGGGAGCGGGTGTCTTTGCCATCGTTCCATTAGCTGTCGAGCGTCCGTTCGTCGGTGCTCCAGCAAATCTGCGTCGACAATCACCACCGAGAGAGTGGATTTGGGGTAGTTTCTACCCTGATTCATTCCCCGGTCAAGGCTATGCCACCATTTCGCACTCCTCCCTCTCTGAGATCTGTTTTCCAGTCTACCGATGATCCTGGAGTTCGTAGTGGTACCACCGGGGTGGGGCATAACGGGTTCCAGCCTCCCAAACTTCCTAAATTTGATTTCCCTAAGTTTGATGGATCCCAACCCAAATACTGGCTTAGTCAATGAAGGATTACTTTGAACTCTATGGTAGTGAACCTCACATGTGGGTTAGGGTCCCTAAAATGCATTTCACACATGCTGCTAAGCGTTGGTACCCTTATGTTGAATCCCAGCTCCAAACCGCTAACTAGCCTACATTTACCCGCTTGATCCTTGATCGTTTTGGCCAGGATGAGCATTAGCTTTTGCTTAGACAACCTTTTCAAATCCGTCAAACTAATTCTGTTCAGGAGTATATAGACCAATGCATTGCTATAGTAGATGACTTATCAACTTACAGTGGTACCACAAACCCTCTATACTATGCTATGAGATTTGTTGATGGTTTGAAAGACTATTAGAGCCACAGTAACTTTGCATCGTCCCCAAAATCTGGATACTGCTTGCATCCTTGCTAAATTACAGGAGGAGGTCACTGACCCTGCCAAGAAGAGGGACTTCAGGCATGCGGAACACCCGGTGGGACCCCGACCATATGCTCCATGGGCGCTTCCTCTACCTCCACCACCTCCCCGTCTTGCACTACCAGCCACCGAGGTGAAGCCGGTTGTGCATGCTGGGCGTGGACCTACTCTGGATGAACGCTGGTCCGCACTTCGCGCGACCCCGCGTGCTCAAGGCCTCTATATGAGGTGTGGTGGAAAATGGGGTCGCGATCATCAGTGCCCTGCTGCAGTTCAACTACATGTCGTTCAAAAGCTGCTGGATGCTTTTCGTGATAAGAGCTTTCATGATTTAGCTTGTGCTTCTATTTCTGTGGTTGCTCCTACTTGGATACAAGAGGTGGTGTCGGGGTATGCTGCTAATCCTACATCATCAGAGATGATAGCGAAGCTTACCATTGATTAAACAGCTGTGCCAGGCTTTTCTCTTTAGGATGGCGTCCTCCGTCAGGGTCCACGTATTTGGATTGGGGACAACAAAGTACTGTAGCAGAAAATTCTCCATGCCATCCATTCAAGCGTCTTGGGGGTCATTCTAGATTTCTGGCAACATATACCGGTTGAAACAGCTATTCCAAAGTGGCGTGGCATGAATTCGCTACCGAACCTTCGTTCAAGCTTGTCTTACTTGTTAACAAGGCTAAGCCCAATCGTACTGCTTTCGTTTGCCCGGTCTCCTTCAACCTCTCGCCAAGAGTACTGACGCTGCTTGGCAAACAATATCTATGGATTTCATTGAGGGCTGCCCCGCTCTGGTAATGTGAACTGCATTCTTGTTGTGGTTGATTCATTCACTAAGTATGGCCACTTCTTGCCACTGCTCCATCCGTTTACAACTCCTGTGGTTGCTAAGTTGTTTCTCAACAATGTTTACCGCTTGCATGGTCTGCCGACTGCAATTATATCTAATAGGAATCATATCTTTACAAGTCACTTTTGGCGTGAGCTCTTCCGTTTGGCCGATGTCTCTTTGCGAGATGAGTTCCAGCTACCACCATTGATCGATGGCAGACAGAGCGCCTCAATCAATCCATGGAGACATTCTTACTGCTGTTTTGTCAATGCATGACCGGCTAAATGGTCCTCTTGGATTGCTTTGGCGGAATTCTGGTACAACGCTTTCCCTCATTCTGCACTTGGCTGCTCCCCTTTTGAAGCTCTTTATGGCTACCCACCTCGTCATTTCAAGATATCTATCTTGGATGATGTGGCTATACCAGAGCTGTCTTCTTGGCTTCAAGATCGTCAGGTTATGACTGATTTGATCCGTCAGCACCTAGCTCGAGCCAAACAACGTATGTGTCGACAGAATATCATCGGCAGTCCTCCGATGGGTATCCCACGAAGATAGATTGATCGACAGAGGAGCGCAACATCAAGAACAAGAAGGCAACAAAGACACACAAGTTAGACAGGTTCAGGCCATCAGTATGACGTAACACCCTACTCCTGTGGTCTGTTGGTTTGTATTAGCTATCGTATGATATTGCGTGAGTTTGGAGGGGGTCCCTGCTCGCCTTATATAGTTCGGGGAGCAGAGTTACAAGTCGGTCAGATCTAAGAGATAACCGGAAAGTAATAATGGATTACAGGAATCTCGGGATCGTACATATCCTAATAGATCTTGTAGTATCTTCAGGATATCCTTCAGATGTCTTGCAGAAGCCGCCGAGCAGAGTCGTGCCCATCAAGGCGTCGTCTTATGGGCTGGGACGCCCCTGGGGGCGCAGCCCATGTGGTCTGCCGTGGGTATTCGGGGTCGTACCCCCCACAGCTAGTCCCCGAGCACCTTGTACCCATTGTACAACGCCATTTTGCGCTTGGCCAAACAGTAAAACTCATGATTCGACCATCGTAATGAGTTGTCGAGCAGTTGCGAGCAGTTGCCGAGCAGCGCGGACCACAACCGAGCAGCATGATCCAAACAGGGCTTGTCATAAGGGTGTAAGGAGCTCAAATTCAGAATAAAAAATTTCCTCGTAGTGGATCAAGTGTGCCCACTTAGAGTCCGGCCACGAGAGCAAGAAACAAACTTCTTCAGCCTCAAGGAGCGCGGAGTCTTCCAGAAAAAAAGTAAGCACATTCACCACGAGGTGAAGTGTGCCCACTTAGTCCCCGAGCCTGACAGTAGGTGATGAAGTCATGTGGTGCCAGGGTCAGAAACAAAGAAACTTGAAAAGACCAGCCAAGCAAGCGGCCAACCCCCGAGCCGTCAGCGGAGATATCGGAGGAGTCCAACCATGGAGAAAAAACCAGAGAGATGGCTGTACAGTAACGGTTACTGAGCCTCAATAAATGGCAGAGAAGTCGGTGATTATCTAGCGGACAACAAACGGCGGCGGCGATAAATGAGCGACGTGGGCTGTGTAACACCCTGAAAAATTTGCATTTTCTAAAATAGCCAAATTGATTTATTTAAGCAATTTTTGTGAGCATTGAACCTAGGGAAATAATAAATTTTATGGAATTAAAATCAATTATAAGGTTAGTAACCAGTTGATGCATACACGCTGCTGCATATTTATTTTGTGATGATTGGTTTTGATTCAAAGTTCAAATGAATTCAAAATCTATTTGAAAGTGCTTTTGGAAATGTATTTGAAAAAAAAGGAAATTCTTTTTCTTGCCTCCCCTTCCTCATTTTTGGCCCACAGGCCTTTTCTCCCCGCTGGCCGAGCTCCCCTTTTTCTCCTCTCTTGCACACCGCGCCAGCCCAGCATGGCGCCGACCCACTCGAGCGGGCTGGCAACCGCCTCGTCTGCTCGGCCCAGCAAGCCCCACCAGCCCAACTTGGGCGCAACCGCCGCGACCTTCCGCGCGCTCAATCGCTGACCGCCTGGCCCCGCCCGTCAGTGCGTTCTCCTTCCTCCCGCAACCGCAGCGCCCGGTCAAGCCGCTGCACAACCGCCGCTCTACTCCGCGTCGTGGGAGCGTCGCCCTGCTCCCCGGACTCTTTAAAAGGAAGTCGAGACCCCCCAAGCGTCCCTCTGCTGTTCCCCGCTCCTTTTCTTCGCGCTCGCCGTGCACGGAAGCCGTAACTGCCGAGCCGAAGGTCGCCGGGATCCGCCGTCCTCCCCTCCACGCGGACAACCGTCTTCGAGCCGCCGTCGACTCTGATTTTCCCCGCTGTGAGCTTCACCGTGCTCCCCTCTTTCTCCCCATGCAGTTTATTTTGAGTTTCGTGGCTTCTAGCGCCCAATCCGCGAGCGCCGTCAACCTCCTTGCCGCCGGCCATGGCCGCCACCTCGCCAGCCGCGTCCCCCAGCCACGCTCTTGGCCTTGGCAAGTTCCCCTTCACCCCCGCAACTCCCCGGTGCCCTCAGTTATTCGAACCGTGGCCCCTATCCCCTGTACCTAGCTCGCCGTCGTGCTCTCGCCGTCAGCCATGGCTAAACCGCCGATGGAAGCACTGTTCCGGCCACCCCCTTCCTTCTCTCTCCCCCAGATCTTATCCGAGCCGTTCATTTCAAATCCAACGGTTCTCTGTGGCTCATACCCCTTCGTGGGTCAAATTTCTAAAGAGCCCCTCAGTTTTCATCTATTTGAACCCGCAATCCATAGCGTAAATTCCTGAGTACGCCTTCTTCTTTGGAGAACGTAAACTAAACTGTTTTAGTCCCAAGTACGTTTTTAGTATTTACAGAAATGCCATTTATACTGTTTTGCTTATAAAATCGTCGTTATAGCTCCGATTTGAACCGTTCAAATTGCGTTAGCTTCGTAATTTCATAATCTACATGTTAGTACCACTGTTAATCAAGTTTGCCACTTTTATATTTCATGGTTAGGTTTAATTAAATAAAGTACTATAGGAAACCCTGTTTAATTCATAACTTTCGCGTTTTAGCTCCGTTTTTTGTGAACTTCACGTTGACGTGATCGTAGCGAGACGTAGATTATTTTTATAAACATTTCATCTTGTTTTCTATACTGTTGGTGTACTGTTCTAATTATAGGATTGTTTGCTTTACATGAATGCCTTTGGAATGTTGTATGTTGCCGTTTTGGTCGCGTTCAGAC